CCCCCCCCCCCCCAGACACCTGGCTCAGCTTCAGCCCCACTCTGCTAACTCCAGCTAAAACCCACTCCCTTCAAAAGTTTTGCAATGAACAATTTGATCGCTCCAAATCCCAGTCTCCCTGCCTCTCTGTGTTCAGCACTTGGGTTCACTCACCTAAACTTCCATTTCCATTTGCACCACACCAAGGCTGTGTTCAGACTGACATAAGGAGCTCTGCGATTCAGTCTAAAAACACGCAAGAAAAAGAAACTGAATGGGCCTCAACTGTTGCCCCATTGCAAATGTCATGTCATCCAGAAATGTACTACATTGGCCATTATATGTTTATCTCTTATCTCTTTTATAACTGGATGGTATTGGTGTTTGATTACCATTTCATATAAACTCAGCTGATGTAAGTATAAAGTTTATTTGTAGCCCAAAACCAGGCAGGCAGAGGGGCTGAGGACCATGCAGTCAACGTCAAACAAGCAGAACAAATCTGACATTTATTCTCCCTGGGCAAAGATAAGCAGGCCGTTCAGTATTAGTGATGGAATTTTTGTCTCTTTTTAGTGAGCCAGATCATTCGGCTCAGCTCAGCAATAATTGTCGGATCTTTCTGCTCTCAAACGGCTTTTCATTTATTACCACTTCCAGTTTTGGCAATTAGTATTTGTGCTTGTATTTCACTTTTCTATTCAAACTATTTAATGTCATTATACTAAACCTTAAGATACATTTCCAGAATTGCATAAACAAAACATCAAACTATTACACGTGTAGTTTTCTTTATATTTAACTATGTTTTGTATGCGACAGGTGCAACATACTAAAGTTTCACCATCTGTAAAAATAAGACCTTAAGTGAGACATTTCTGGATCGTACTTAACAAATATGTTTATAGAATCATGCTATTATTCGGTCTTGTATTAGTCTTATTTCTGGGTGGGGGTGGGGAATCTGCTCTCAGACGGGATATTGTTCACTTAAAGGAGCTGCTTCACAGAGCTGATTCATTCATGAGCGACACATCACTAGTGTGTGTATGTACTGCAGGGCTGATGGGGAAAACTATGCAGGTAGGCGGGGGAGGTCAGGTGATGGGGAATGGCTGGATCTGAAATGACTGGAGAGTATTGCAGGAAAAACAAAGCAGACATGAGAATGTGCAGCCCAGAGTTGGCTGCCGTTGTGACACCTCTCCTGGAAGCCTGCACTGAGGGACTGAGAAGGGCACATAGTGATCATTTGATCGGGCTGTACTATCGCTGACGTCCAACCGGCTGGACCGCCGCCCAAAGCCCTCACTGATGTCATCAAACATGTAATTGCTGAGTGCTTAACTGGCATCTGAAGCAGCAAAGAAACCTGACTGATGCTCGTGTGTTCAGTCAGAGTCAGGAAGGTCTGGTGGTTTAAATCAGTATCATGTTCAAAAAGCTGCAGTGTCCTGCTCGCTGTTGCTGCCTGGATTTCTACATGAGGTCATGCTCTGTTTTTATTCTCTGCAACACACTATCCAACAGTTAAACTCTGGACATAATTAAAGAAAAACACTCATCTGATCTCCAGTTAATCTTCAAAGAATCCACAAGGGAAAGGTATGGATCACAGAATAAAGTGCAAAGCAGTTTTTAAACATTGAAATACAATTCAAGTGCACCTGGATTTACTGGAGAGTCTCACCTGAAACATTTTAAATCTACTGTCGGTGCATCCAGGTGCCACTGATGCCCATTCTGACTCACACATTTTCCTTTTTGCGTGTGTGTGCTGGCATGGAGTCGTTGGGTAGGGTGTTGTTGTGTTATGGGTGGAGGTGTGGGGGGCTGTGAAGGGTCATCTCGCCCTGCTAATCCTGCTCCAACAGCTGCACACCCCAACTCCAAATCCCCTCCCTCCCACCATTTAAGAGCTGCGTGTTTGTATTCATTTACTAACAGCGCTACAGCTCCGTAAGGCCTCTAAAAACCAGAACAAAAACTGCTTACATGAAGACACTGTGCAAGATTTTTGTCCAGTCTTAGGGTTTACTAGTGTTCATTACTGCTCATTTCAAGGTTCAGCTATTTTGTCAGTATACACTTTCAAGGTTCAACATCAATATATTGTGCTCTTTTGATTTCTGCTTTGCTCTCAAACTCGCGGAAAACTGCACAATACATAGTTGGTGTTTCTCCCACATCCTCTTTAAAAAAATATAAACTGTAGGCATATGTCTCAACATTTCTGTGAACAATATTCAGAGCCTTCAGTGTCTGCTTAACAGCCTCTTCCTGCATTAGAAAAGTAGCTCAAACAAGAGCTAATTAAAACAATGGTCAGGGGAAAAAACAACAACTATTAAGTCTGTATAATTGTATAAAAAAAATTAATACAGACAGAGAATTGTATGAAGTTCCTAAAAATATCAATAAAACGTATCTTTGCTGCAATATTCACAGGAAATAATCTGCACAAATCACTCAACACAGTCAGTTAGTCAGGGGTTGTATAAGGGAAAGAAGTAAAAGAAAAGGTGCCCCTTAATGGAAACCAATGGATGCCTGGAACTGTAAAAAGTTAATAAAAAAGAGTCTGTATATGACATACAGAAATGAATCGAAGCCAATGGATGCATGAACATGACCTATAGCAGCACGCAAGGTGAGTTTGTTTTTGCAAAGCACCTTTCAACAAGTTCAAAGTGCTTCCCTTAAGACATAAACACATCTAGACCAATCCACATAAAGACAAATACTATTTTTTTTTAAATGAGGAAAAAGCTAAAATAGTATAAAAGAGAAATGTAAAACAGTCTAATCTCTACATCTTTTTTAAACCTTAACTATTAATGATTTGTAGTTAAAATAAAGAGTTAAACCAAATACATTAAAGGATGTTGTGTATTAACTACTTCATTGCAACTGTGGCTTCAAACACAGTCCAATAAGAGGATAAGATGCAGTAACAGTAATGAAGTAGTAATAATACATTTACAGAAGGCTGAAAAGGAAAGAACATAAAACATGAACAGAAATGTGAAGATCTGTTTTGTCCCTGCCAACAGTGTCCAGCAGAGATGCCCATTAGCAGCCGTCACATCCCAAAACCTGTCCTCAGCTCAGTACTGAGTCCCAGCCAGAGAGAAATGCATTGTGGGTTAAAAGTCAGTGACATCACTGGAAAGTGACAGTCAGCTTGACAAGCTCAAAGCAGCTGCAGGAACACACACACATACACACATATAATACACGTGTGTGTGTGTGTGAGAGTGACTCTGGTTTTTCAGAGCAAGTGAAACATAAGTGTGAGCGGAGTGAAGGGAGGCACTGCACAGTCCACTACAAGCTTGTTTTTCCATCATCATGGTCTTCATCGCCAGCAATCAGCTGCTGCAGTTTTAACGCCTTTCTGATTAAATTTGTGTATAAGATTAAAGCAGCATGCATGTTACCACAAAACACACAAACAGATAGCAGATTCAGATTAATAATAGAAAATATGATAAACAAACAAATTATGATATAATAAGTAAAGCTGCCAACAATAAAGTAATTAGCTCCACCTTATAGCATTAATCCATCATAATTATAATCCAATAATATAATATACAGGCCATTCTGCATGAAGAAGAAGCTTTTACTTTTGGTATCTTAAATATATTTTAAAGATAATACTTTTACTTTAAG